CTGATATATTAGTATTGGACATTTCTTACCTCTTAATGTCGGCACTGGCATCGGCTCAAAACCTTTATTTTAGTCAGCTTCTGGTTTTTTGTATTTTTGTGTTTTTACCCTTCATCTTATCATCTGCTCCAAAGGTCAGATTTTGTAGACTGTCCATTAAAACTGTTTTAGTAAACGCTGCTGTCCTTCATAGTCCTGCAGGATGTGATGAGTGGGAATCTGTTTGGTTCACACTCACCTTGACGTTGCTCTCGGCCGTGTTGAGTAACGAATGCAGCTTGTGGGACTTGTCCCGGTTTTCCCGGGCTTCGTCCGTTACCCTGGCCAGCTCGGCCCGCAGTTTTCCCAGGGTCTTCTGAAGAGCTGCCTCCTGACTCTGAAACTCCCGCCGCAGCTCGGCCTCGGTGCGTTTCCATGCCAACAGGTTGTCGGCAGTCAGCTGCTGCGTTCTCTTCATGGCCTCCAGCTCGCGCTCATAAAAGGCCTGAGCCTGGGGACAGACACGCTGGTGTGAAACTATCCATCACTGAGGGAAACACGTCCAAACAGCTTGATGGAAGATATAAAACCCGAAGCAATATGTCTCAAACGCTGCGCGTGAACGAGGCGGCTGAGCAGCTTCTAGAGGTCGTTATTTACATCGTGACACTCACAGCCTTCACTTTCATCAAGGTCATCATGTGAGTGTCAAAGGGTGGAAAGTCTTTTTAACCATTTCTTATCGAAGGATGTTCAGCAGAGCTCAACACAGCCCGTCTACAGAGAGCCTGTCCACTTCTGATTCCTACTGGTGACTGCAATTCACTTGGAATCTAGTGACAAGGTGTCCCTCAAATAAATGCATGGAGCTAAACGGTTAAAATAATTATTTACACCTGCTTCAGGACAAAAATGCATCATATCATTAGAACTATTGTAAAAACATGAATGTCCCTTGTCAGGTTGTGCTGTCCTCCGTTTACTGGAAGTTACAGTATATCTGCATAATGTTGCATGAAGCTTATCATCCAATTCTGTGCACAACAAACTGCTCATCATGCATTAATGAACTCTCCCTGTAGGTGTTTAAATGTTATGTGGTTGCCGTACCTTGCTGAGTTTGGCCTCGTACTCCTCCACCAGTCTCTTTTTGTCTTGTTTGAGCTCCTCCACCCGCTCCCCCAAAGAATCCACCTGCACCAAATCAGGAAGGACATCTTGAAACAATGCAGACTTGGAGATTTTGTGAAGAGAGATAAAACTGCTTTAAAACTTATACGCACTGCTTCTTGACACTGTAAAACAACGGCACTGGCTGTTTTTTAGAAAGTTTAACCTGCTCTAGAGTCGCAGTAGCAGCAGCAGAGGTTTGACTCTCTGCTTGGACGGTAATAACTTTATGGACGATAGCAAAAGCAAGCATGAGAGAAAATCGGCAGCACACAGATTTACGATACAGCAACGGAACAAACAAAATGAACAAATGTGTTGTGGATAGAACATGGCGGTCCGTCACAATCCAGATCATTAATGGGAAATACTGCGGCTGGTTAATTGAGTTAAAAATCCTAATGATGTCGTCTCACTTTCTTCTAGTCTCGGTTGTTGTGATGCAGCTTGATGCTGTGTTCGTCAGCAGCTGATCTACTTTCGCAGCAGTTACCTCAGCCTTGTGGAGCTGTCCCAGTTTCTCCTGGTCTTTGCTGTAGTTTGCGTTATGGCTCTGGTGGCTGCGCAGGAGCTCTTGGATCTCCTGTCTGTGCTGGCCCTTCAGCTCCTCCAGGGCCGCCTTCTTCTCCTGCTCGAACTGGGCCTGGGCCTGGCTGAACGTGCGCAACTTCTCTTCGAAGGACCGCCGCATCTCCTCCACCTCCCTCGACATGGACACCACCCGCTGCGTGTGCTGCCGGAGGAGACGGGAATAAAGGCCTGAGCTAACAGGAGGATTGATTTATGGATTTGCGGGCCTGTTACACAGTGGGTAAACTTTTTAAAAGCCCCAGGCCAGGTGGTGATGTACTGGCTCAGGGGGGGTTTGACCTTCTGGCTTCCAACCTGTCGGCTCTAATTTAGCGCTGAAAACCAGAAGGCAACCTAAACAGGAGCCAACCATTTGAAAGTAAGCTACCGCTCAATGTCCGGAGATGACAAGAAAAGCACTGATGTAGGTTGTCAGTATCAATCAGGCACCACTCGATGAACAATATCGACAACTCCACTGGACGGTTTCTGAACGTGCTGAGGTTAGTAATAATAATAAGGACCTGATTTGAAACAGATTTACTTTTTATTTTAATTTGGCCGCACTGTCTGAAACCAGCGTTTAATTTTCCACAGCGGCAGATAGAAAAATATTAATTTGAATTTTTTTTTTGTAACCTGAAGCTCTGAAGCAGTTTACCCTCGCTGGGATTAAATTATAGATAAACGAAGTTAGAGACATACGAGCCGACGTCAGAGAGCTGGTGGAGGGCGTATCCTCGACCCTCTCTGTGTGTAAACCTGCACAATAACACCACCCGTCTGTCTATTATCTGTCAGCTGCTGCATCGATTTGAAACAGCGTTCACTCTCCTCCATTCACACCGACAAAGAAAAGGTCACACAGTCCACACTGTCTGACTTGAACACTGTACGTGTGTTATCGGGATAATGCACCACGAGCTTAAGAGCGCTACAGATACACCTCCGCCACTTAGAAAGAGAGGACGCTGATATCATTTCGATTGTTTACTTGGTGGCGAAAGTCAGGAGTCAGTCTCATCAATCAATCACGATGGTTCACTCTGTTTTAGAAACCAAACTCTGAGGCTCTGGGACGTGTCGGACAAATCATCTGACAAATGAATAAATGTAAACATGCTCTGAACTGTCTCTTTAAGACGTGGGGGTTATGTTTTCTTCTCCCGGCTGAAACTGCGTCACTGAGCAATCTGGAAATAGCTCCTCACCGGTACGACCCATTGTGATGAATTACTCTGTAAATATCAGATGTTCGCCCTGATTCATTAACGTAAAGCAACAGGGAGCAGAAAAAATATCACACAGACGACGCACCAAGCTGCAGGAGTGTTCCTCTGATCCCTGGTCAGTTCTGTGGAGGTCTCATCCATGTGATTGTGCTGATGTAACTTCAGTGGACCAAGACAAACAGAAATCATATCTGGCAAAAAGAGGCGCCCGTCTGTAGCTAATCATAATTATTAACTCTCATCTTTTCATCCAGAGACGAGATGAAAGAAGCTTTCATCATCTCTACGACAACAGCGTCCGAAAGACAAAGGTGCTGCAGACCGAGAGCCACTCTCCGGCCTCACAGCAGGACGCACAAACAGACATTAGCGGCTGATTGCCTGCAACTGTGACTGCAGCGTCCTGCAGAGCACAGCTGCCAGCGACCAGAGACACACACACAGAGACACCACACCATTCCTCCGTCTACCTGAGCCTCGGTGCAGAGCTGCATGTCCTCCACCCTCTGACGGTAGCTCTCGAACTCAGCCAGCGCCTGTCTCTTCATCCTCTCGTGGAGCTCCATGGACTCCTCCAGAGACTGGATCCGCTTCTTCAGGTCCATCTCGTCGCTGATCTTACTCTTGTACTGGAACAGACGTGCAGGAGTCTGATTCAGATTTTGCTCGAGTTTGAGCTCGTCGTGGAAAGTTTCAACTGACACATTAAATTCAGCTAAAGGTTATATTACAAGATCTTAAATGTCAATATAGCAGTAATTACGTTCTATGTAGGAATGTCGTGGCGTGTGAGAGTTGGGATCCGAGCTTCTTTGGTGTTAGAGTCCAGAGAAAAGGTGAAAACAACTTTGCTTTTAACAAAAGCCATTTCCACACGGCGAGCTAACGGCTCAGAGAAAGAGTATTGGCTGTTTAACTGAAATGAAAAAGCTGCTAAAAGCCTTCATCTTGAATCAGAAGTGGCTTTTATTCTCCTGCTCGACGTTGATGTTTGATATTTAGCTTCTATATTAGTCACACTGCTGTCAAGGAAGCAAGTAATCCTCATCGGGAGTGATGACATTTACACCTAAATTATAAATATTCAGCTGTTTTAATATTAATGAGTTGGTGAATGTGATCTCAGCTCTCTGGCTCCAGCTAGTATGAGATGGCGTGCACCTATAGAAGCATGTGTCAGGTATGTGTGAGGGTATTATGTACGGTTGTATGTTTTCTAAAAGGTGATTTTTTAATCAAAGCTCCCTGATACTCGTGTCAAAAGGTACAACACCTTTGCTGCACTCCATCAAGTTGTTTATAAGTTATTCACAAGTTGCCATTTAATCAGTAACTTTTTCTTGTCCTCCTAATTTATTACATTACTTATTCAAATTACTTTTCATTCACACCCATAAAACTGCTTTTTCCTCTTAATTCAAATTTCTGCAAGTCATCTCCGTTCCATCTCAACGAATCTGACTATTGTGATCAGAGCAGGAGGAACGCTTTCACTCGGAGAGCATCAGCTCAGAATTTAAGAGTGTGACAGCAGGCTCTTAGTGATAAAAGTTGAATGACTGAGGTAAAGTAAAAACCTGTAGAATCTTCTCTCTGGTCTCCGAGAGGATCTGCTGCACCTCCTCTTCGTGCGCCTCCTTCAGGGTGGCGATGGCCGCCTCGTGCTCGTCGTTTTTCGTGTTCAGAGCATAGATAACCTGCGACGGAGGGAAGAAGAAACAAAGTTCTTTACTGAATATAAATACAAAAAAACACGTAGCTGTGTGGAATAGCTGCTTCTTGAGTTAAGGTTGCGCACAGCTCATTTCTGAGCATCGAGACGATTGGATAAAATATTGTGACTTGTGTGTAAATGTTGTGGACTTATCCAGTTCACATTAATCATTCACTACGTTACACAATTCAAATCAGTTCACAGATTGAATGTAATGAACAAGTGGAGCAGGAAGAGAAATGCAAATTACTGCTGCATTACTGTGAACAGTAAATTCTGTGGGAGCCCTCAGTCCGAGCCTCGGTGCGTCTGTATGAGCCGAGAAGTGATGCTCGGTTGAGAAATCGGTTGATGCCGTGTATTGCTGGGGTTTAAAAATAACACGAGCAAACTATTGTGCATGAGATTGACCTTTAAATCTGTCCCAAAAATACATGCAGCCATCCAGAGAGCGATAATCTGACAGAGCAGTGATCCCCTGCTCACAGGCAGAGCGAGGGAGTGGGGGAAAGAAATGGGTTTCACGTTTCCACATGAAAAACCAGGAGAGGCCTTCCCTCCCTGCCGTGAGAAACAGAGCTATGCGTTGCCTCTTTGAAGATCCCAGTCAATAATTCAGCACATTGAACTGTGCTGTGGTGCTAAAAGAGCCTTTGTTTACTCTGGACCAAAGTCCGTCAGCAGAACCAGAGAGGGGAGCGCGGAGAAAAGACGACGAGGCGATGACGGGCAGCGGCTTCCTTTGAAACAATGACATCGACTTTCTACTGCTTCGTGTCTTCAGGAGAGATGAAAGGATGTAGTTTGACGAGTGGTGATGTTTTTCATATTTATTTAGTCTCTCTCTCTCACACACACACACACACACACACACACACACACACACTTATTAGGTACTCATGGTTTACCTGTCTACTAAATTTTTTAATTGATGCTTCTTATTTTTACTTTTCAATTCATCAGACATTTAACATTTAAAATCAGAGATGTCAAACTCATGAGGGAACAAGCAGTAAGGCCGGGGGGGATCTGGAATGTTGGTATTATCCTCTGGGGACCATGAATCTCTGTAGGAACTGAAATATTTGAGTAGTAAGACCCTTCCGATCAGACAGCCACAGTGCTAGCATGGCTAATCAATCACCGGTTTATTCAAGAGATGGACCTCTGATTCGAAGTCTCCCACTGTTTCTTTGTGTATGACGAACGACACGTTCGAGATCAGAGACAAACCACTGGGAGCTAAATAAAGCTGCGTGCGAAAATCCAGTTCCATCCAAAATAAATCACCCCCCCCCCCCACAAGTATAAATCATTCAGCCAGCTCAGTCTCTCATCAGCTTAGGACGTGAGCGGAGCAGACGAAACAGTTACAGGAGCTAAGAATCTTCCGTCACACACCAAGAGTCATCAGAGCACTTCTGCAGATGGAAGGCAATAATCATAACGCTGGAACAGACACACACAATGAAATAACAAACCCCAAGTACACACGCACACACACACACACACAAACACACACACACCAGTGGAGACTGTCAAGTTCCTCGCCCATGTCCAAACTCATCAGTGTAATCAGTGCCTGCTAAACGGCCGGAGAGACGAGGAGGCACAGACAGTTTTGTGTTAATGTGTATGTCTGTGTGTGTCTGTGTGTGTTTGTGTTTGCCTGGGAGACAAAGGCTGAGAATATTGCCATCACTGTCATCGCGAGGCGTCGAGCAACGTTGGATCTTGGAAGGCAGCAACATGACAAACACTGATATTGTTTCCAGAGCGGCTGCAGACGCCTGTAAACACGTTCAGGTTGAACCGTTGATCTCATTGACGTTAGGTGAAAATGAGTCGTTGTTTGATTCTATAAAAAACACTACGGAGGAAAGTCTGAATAATTTGAGCGTTATACAAAACATATATACGTTCAGGGATAGCCACTGACACACACTGACACACACTGACAACCATGATCTCAGCTGATCTTTGTGCTTAAGTGCAAAACCAAATCCTGGATCCACCCTCTGATCTGAATCCGCACTAAACTGTGATGGGTTCCTCCCTGTTCCATTCTACATCCTTCCGACAAGTTTCGTGGTAATCCGTCAAGTACTTCTTACATAATCCTGCTAACTAAGAGAGTTAACAGACAAAAACACAGCCTCTCTGGCGGAGGTAATTAACAGAGCCTGCGACACGAGCTTCATTTTATGAAACACAATGACAGTCTGCTGGTGAGTGTGTCCGAGTGTGTGCGTTCATTATTCTCAGGTGTGACGGTGAGACAGAGGGTGAGAGAGAGAGAGAGAGAGAGAGAGTGCAGTAGCGGCGATGCTTCCTCATCTCCTCGGGTCGATCGGCGCGTGTCCTTGGAGGAGTTTGCATAAATGACAGTGATACCGGGCAGATCGATAAGGTGACGGCGAAATGCCACAAAATTCATCCGTCAGCCGGGAGAAAGTCACAGCTGAGAAACTCGCTGAGACTTTCGGCGGCCGTGCTGCAGCTGAGTCTCTGCTCGCTGTTCAATGAAATATGACTCTCCTGTCAAACACTGGAAAAACCGGAGGAAAAGTGTCACTTCCTTCTGTTTGCTTGAGATTTGACTTTTCAACCCCTGTTGTACTTTCTCCGCGTCATGATGCTCCCTCCATACAAAACAGTACGACGCCCTCTCTCTCCAGCGCTTTCCTTTTACGCTTTCCCACCATTTCTTGTTTGGATACTCGGCGTTTCACTTGATACGTCAATTCAAATATTTGGAGGACTCAAACCAAGAAGGTCAGGTCAATGGAGATCTTCTTTCTGATGCACTTTAAGCTACATTGAGCCACGGGCTGAAAATACAAATTTACGTAAGTACCTGAAACTCTGTTTTCATAAACGAAGGCTTAGAAGAAACTCTGCAATGATCAGACTATATTAACATTTTTCCAGAAGAAGTCAGAGTACCATAAACCGAATCATCTAGAGAGTAGTTTCTGGAGAAAGTAACGATTGCCGATGCATTATGAGAAACATTCGTTCACAGATTTTAAAGCTATTACGCTTCAGGGAATCGTCAGCAGAAAGGTTAGCAACCGACACCATCCTGAAACATCTCCTCGTTATGTCTCATCTGAATCTATTTTCGGCAACAACAACGACCAACACTGCACCAAATAATGAAAAATAAAAGTTTGATCAGTACAAATCCCTGCAGAGCATTTCAACAACAGCAATGTGACGTCGCCTGACAGGGGAGATGAGTCACAACTTTTTAATTAGGTCGTAAACTACAAGAGTTTATGGTGCGATCGAGCTGCTTCGGTGCTTTATACTCATATTCACAACAGCTCAAAAAGAAAAGTTAGGGCTCTAGTTTCTGTCCAAGGATCAAGATCATGATCTGAGGACACGATCGGACACAACATCAACATCGTTCATGGAATCGATGATGAGGAGATTAGTGATTAAGGGAAAACAGGCGGTATAGATGTTTTATGCAAGTTACCTTAAATTATACTGCGTTTTACATTTTATATGTAACATACTTAAGATCTAGTACATCATATTTTAAATTTAGATTTTTAAGACCACACAAGAAACCCTGTTTTTAGACACAGCACCAGACACACCAGTGTTCGTGTGAGGCTAAGCTGACGAGCCAACAGCCCTTTATGTCATCGACAGTTTTGAGAGTGGCATCGATCGTCTTATCTGACTTTCAGAACAAAGGGGGGTTTCCCAAAATGCCAAACAGTTCCACTAAGATCAATTCTGTTTCCGACACTGGACCAGAAAGAGAAAAAAAACCCTCGTACAAACCTGCGGTATTTATTATCATTATTATTATTATAATTTACAATCATCTTTACCATCGTTTCTCACAGGTGATTATGAAGCAAAGGCTCGCAGACATGAACGACTGTATTTTTGTAGCAGTGCATTGATTTCTTCACACTTGGGGATAAAATCATTAACCGCGTGGAAGAAGGGCAACGGGGAGAAGCGACATTTAATTGCCGCAACAACTATTGATGTGTCATTTTGCTGGCAGGACCCTTTTAGAGCAGCGACTGTTGCAGAGGGTAGTTTAGTGTAACACTGATTTAGCAAGCAATTAACTTCATCATTACGCCCGCACATCAAACTATTGTTGTGTTGACGGGAAATCAGCTTTGTCGTCTTCTTTTTTCCTCACTCGATTCGCTCTGTCTGAATATTTAACCCTTAATATATCCACGATTAACACAGTGACGATGTATTTTGCAGACATCTCTACCCTCCAGACCATAATTAAGAAACAACTGAACTGAACTTTAGTTAACCAAGATCCGATCGATGAATCAGCTGCAAGTAAAAACTCGATTTAACACATCTGTCCACCCACGTTTTGTACATCCTGGTGTTTCTTTCTCTGAAGTCTCACCTGAATAATGTGTGAGACATCAGTGTAAAAGCCTCCCGAGCTGCAGCGAGGCACAATGGAAGGTAATTATCATTATCTTCTTACAGTCATTATCGTTTAATCATTGTCTAATTGGAAATTTAATTTCTAATTTTGAGCGTGAGACACACTTTGGTCGCTTCGCTCTTCGATCTGTTCAGTTGACGTATTTCACACTTGTGTCATGAAGCAGATGAGGTTATTGAAGTTAACGCGCTGCCTGAAGCCAGTTCTTATCTAATTAACCAGTTGTTAACCTGCTCTGGGAGAGTCAGTCTGTGCAGAATGGTGTATGGGTGCAGGGATGTGTTGTTATGATTTTATCATTAGAAATATCTTCCACCTGCTCTTTACAGATTAAATCTAACACTGCTTCCTCTGACTCCTCCTCTGACTCCACCTCGCCTCCGCATCGCAACTTTCCACCGCCGCAAACTCAAAGTTTCATATTTCCAGCCAGAAAAATGTTCACAGGGGCGACGCAGCATCTCACTTCCAAAGCCTCGACATTATGAGTTTACTGGGAGTGAATTTAACGAAGCAGAGAGAGAGAGAGCGAG